ACAAATGGGGCAGAGTTCTTCGGGGAATAGGAACCAGATAACTTATGTGCTTTCTTTCTAGAAACAACGATCTCAGTCTCGTTGAATGTCCCTGAATTAAGCATCTCAGATCAGCGTCAAGGCTCCTGGTCGGCCGCCTGCCACTGAGTACAGCCCCAGCACTGGCCTCCTGCCTGCTCAAGTCCCCCCGAAGACCTGAGAGGAAGGTTCGTCCAGGACTCCAGGGATCGGCCTGGGTGTGGCCCATCAGGAACGGGGACTGGAAATTACCGTACAGAACAGCAGGCGGCTTCCCCATGCAGCTTCCCTTGGCAGCCTGAGTGAGGGGGAGGAGCTAACGGAAAATGGCACCAAAGGAAATATGTTTAACATTCTAGACTCATTTTTTTCACTCTGCTTCACTCTCCGCACCCAATGGAAGAGTCCATACTTCCCTGAAACTACTGAGACTAGTTTTTGGCAGAAGCAAGTGCGGTAGGGATTGCTGAAATTTCTGTAACTGTTTAAGTGACACTTAAGATCAAACGTTAGAGCCCCTGCTTTAAAAGGCATCAGAGAAGATTTTGTATTTGGAGGAAAAAGCCACATTCTTGATAGTCTTAACTGCACAGAGAACAGCAGAGTGGCTCAAGTGTGAGGTTTCCAGAACTGTGTGGCGGGGCTCAGCCAGGCTCCATCACTGCGGTCGTCAGAGGAAACATCACCTCCCTGAAGCTGCTTTCCTCATTTGGGAACTGAGGATAATAAAGCCACCTGGAGGTGCTGTGGGCATTAGTAGGGGTGATCAACATAATGCATTCGGCACGGTGCCCGGTACCAGAAAGCAGCTCGCACATCCATGCAGCGCCAACATGTCACGGTGCCTCAGTGCTGGGACGCACAGCACGTGTCCTGAGCAGGCTATGTGTGGTTTGGGGCAGCTGTGGTGAATGCTTTAAACAACACAGCAAAGAGCAGTCCATGCAGGAAGAGGCCTCGTGAACACATCTGCCCTGAGTTGTGAAGGCCTCGCTAGCACATCCTTGAGACTTCCTGAGGATTTCCCTGAGTTGTCAAGGTCTGGGAAAATCCAAGCATTCATGCTGGAGAACCGTGGAGACTCTCTGGTCTGACCTCTCTCTTTATTCACCAGTGGAGAGCAGAGGGGCCCGAAGGCCACACCAAGCTGCTTACGTTCATCCACCAAATCAGCACTGGCAGAAGAGTGGCGGGCTGGCTTTTCATATGGTTCGATTTCGCACCATGATGCAGTTTGGACATTCGTCCCCCAAACTTCACGTTGGAATGTGAGCCCCAGTGTTGGAGGTGGGACGTGGTGGGAGGTGTCTGTGTCCTGGGGGTGGATCCCTCATGGATGGCTTAGTGCCCTCCCTACAGTAATGAATGAGTTCTGGTTCCATTAGCTACCTTGGGATCTGGCCGTTAAAAAGAGCCTGGTGCCTCCTCCTCCCTCCTCCTCCTATTCTCTTTCTAATCATGTGACAGGCTTGCTTCCCCTTTGCTTTCTACTATGATTAAAAGCTTCCTGGCCAGGTGCAGTGGTTCATGCCTGTAATCCTAGCACTTTGGGAAGCCAAGGGAGGTAGATCATTTGAGGTCAGGAGTTCGAGACTAGCCTGGCCAACATGGTGAAACTCTGTCTCTACTAAAAATACAACAATTAGCCAGAAGTGATGGTGGGCACCTGTAATCCCAGCTACTCAGGAGGTGAGGCAGGAGAATCACTCAAACCTGGGAGGTGGAGGTTGCAGTGAGCCGACTGCTAGACTGCACTCCAGCCTGGGTGACAGAACGAGACTGTTTAAAAAAAAAAAAAAAAAAAAAAAAAAAAAAAGAGCTTCCTGAGGCCACACCGGAAGCAGATGCTGACACCGTGCTCCTGGTACAGCCTGCAGAACTGTGAGCCAAGATAACCCTTTTCTTTGTAAATAACTCACTCTCGGGTATTCCTTTATGGCACTACCAAACGGACCGAGACACACTTCTTAAGTAAAGAAATTCTACCGTAACACAGACTTTCCCTTTTTAAATTCTGGATGATCATGATGTATTGGTGATGGCTGCAAACCTAAAGGGAGCGGGTGAAACAAGCATCGTCTACCAGACTGCGAACCCACTGAGGGCGCAGCTGTGTTGCGGTCGGCCCTGAACTGCCAGCATGTGACACTCAGTAGATGCTGATGGCCACTTGCTGCATGAACAAATGAACAAGCTCAGACAGAGCTGTTCCGGACAGCGGGGAGACAAGTCACTCCATGTCCTAAAGTGCCTACGTGCCCAGTGTTCACATCCACATGAAAACCGCTTCAGTCAAACACCGAACTAGCCACAGAAAGGTCAGGAATGCCCCGCGTGCTGCCTCGAGCCCCTGATGTGCAAGGAAGTGAGAGAGGAAGCTGAGGACTGCGCTGCTTATGCTGCAGAAGGTGGCAGAGACACAAGGCTGACTGCATGGTCACGCGCTGCGTCTTTCCCTCCTTGCCCAGGCATCCACCAGCTGTGCCACGGTGGAGTTCTCTCTCTTAAGAAGGGGTCAGATTTTAAGTCAGCACATAAAGGAACACATAGACATTACATATTGAAATTAACCATGAAAATCCTTTAAGGTAAAGCCCAACACACATCTTTCCATAAATCCAACTGCTTGTTTTTCTTCCAGGATTAGAACAAATTGCGATTTCCTCAATTAAGTACCACAAGAAATGCTGGCTTATATTTGGATCATGCCATAGAAAAAATGTGCACCTTTAAACGTGAGCGTTGCATGAAGTGTGGTGATGTTTTCATGCGATGAGAGGCGGCGGAGGCACGGGAGGCAGGATGACGCTCTCACTGGTGGGGGTCCCACCCAGTCAGCCCAAGAGAAACGTCCCTAGGATGTGACTGCACTAATCCTTCCGGTTTCTCCCACCCCCCCAATGCTTAGCTGTCAACTGCTGTCACCTGGAGTCTCAGAAGGGCCCGGCACGGCAGAGTACAGGCTTGAGCCCATCTCCAGATGTCAGCCAGTGGGAAGGGGCAGTACCCCCACTCAGCACAGGGGTCTTTTGTGTAGGTGTCCAGGGACCCCGAACAGCACTGTCCTTTCTTGGAGCAGAAATGCTGGTACAGGGTGGAAGAGAGGACTCTCAGTCTTCCTTCCTTCAAACGGGACACGTTACAGTGATGAAGGCGGGCAAGTGATGAAGAGCACAGGCTCTAGAGCCAGATGACTTGGGTTCAACTGGTAATCCTGAGTAAGTTAGCTAAGCACTCCATGCCTCAGTTTCCCCATATGTAAACTGGGGTAATAACATCTCCTTCACAGGGTAGTTACAAGGACTAAATGAGTTGATATTGGAACTCAGAGCAGTGGCTGGATCATCGTGAACGTGGCACAGGTGTCTGTCAGGCAGAGTAAGTGTGGTGCCTGGCAGTACTGTGGGAAGCGCCTGCTCTCTGTTCCACTGTCCCTGCTGCTGTTGAGTGGCTCCCTGAGCGTTACACTGGAGTATGCTTTTTTTTTTTTTTTTTTTTTTTTGAGATAGAGTCTCACTCTGTTGCCCAGACTGGAGTGCAGTGGCTCGGTGTCGGCTTACTGCAACCTCAGCCTCCTGGGTTCAAGTGATTTTGTGCCACAGCCTTCCGAGTAGCTGAGGTTGCAGGCATGAGCCTCTGCGCCCAGCCTGTAGTGTGCATTTAAGAAGCATAATACTGAAATAGGAAATACTCCAGGACCAGGATGGCTGACTTGCAAAACTGCTTCAACTCACTTGGCAAATCACCTATGCGGAACTTCCTCTCTCAAATGCTATAAAGATTTCCCACAATGTGACATGCAGGATAACAAAAAAAATTGTGTACAATTTAGAAAGTCATTGATTTAGAATTTCTCAATTTCAAGTCATGTGCTTCCTATTTCTGTAAATAAAATTAAACCCTGTTTTAAGATTCAAGAAAAGTGTTGCAATGTAAAAAAGTTGGTAACATGATTCTCCATCATCCGATCAAAGTATAGAAAGCAAACAGTTTTCTTTCTACCTTTCACGTTATGGTATTAAAAGAATGGAAGTGCGCACAAAGCCCAGGGCACCAGGTGCCGGGAAGTGCCTGCTACTCCTCCATGGGTAAGGAGGCCCTTCCTTCCTCACCAGGGCCACTGACAAAGACATCACCTGGGAACTCCGCAGAACTTCCATCACTACTGCTGGCAAGTGAGAGGAGGAACGTGGCAAGAAGAATCTCAGTTTTCCCAAAAACGGTAACATGCTGCTGCTCCTGCTCACTACCCGCCTGCTGGTACAGTTTTTGCAGCACTTCTGCACACCTGGAGAGGTGTCATCGAACCTCTACAGAACACTGGGACGTGGGTAGCAAAGGCAGGATCATTCCTAATCTGAGACAAATAACCTAACAGCCCATAAACAGTGAAGGCTCTGGGTCCCACATTTCTTCCCAATGTCAGTTAGTGTAATAACGTGCTGGTTTGGTGCCTCCCACATTAACTGTGACTTCACAACCAAGAATGAGTCAGGAAAACACTCTGACTCTCCCTTTGGAGTTAGGATCATGAGTGATAGCTGTCATAATGCAGGACCACTTACTTTGATGTGAAAGCTGAAACCATGATTGCTTTCAGTACTGCTCTAGCACCTCTGTCTGCACCTGGCAGGTGACTGTGAGCACTGTGGGATGCAGGCGTGGTCTGGCACACTGACCTTGAAGCTTTAGCCGGCAGCCTCAGCAAGAAAGATGCCTCTGCATTTCAGCTTCCCATAGTAGCAAGCAGTTAAGAATTACAGGACTCAAGCTCTGCTAGAAAGCCTTAGCATCCCTAAAAAAGGCTTCAGCAAGAGCCACGACTGCCAGGCCACACAAACCGGGTCACCCAGCCTCCGAAAGCAGAAGCAGCAGTGGTGCACGGGGCAGGACGGGCGGGAAACCGCACAGGCACGTCCTGTGGGGAGGGCATGGAGGGCGCGTTCTCCTGCGCGGCAGGGAAGAATGGCAGCGTCACCTACCTTGCTGCAGACAGTCTTGACCCTGTGCAGTCTGTCCAGCGACTCCTGCGGGTTCCCCAGGTACTGCTGAAGCTCCGCGTGCAGGATGCGCATGGAGAAGGGGACCATGGAGCCTGGAATCCAATCAGCGCTGAGTGAGTTTGTTTGCCATACTGAGCGCACATTCATACTTGGCACACTTGAAGGAGGCGTCACAGATGTCCCAGCAGAAGTGATGACAGATCCCTTTATTTCTTGTGAAGTATTTAACGGTGTCAGCTATAAAATACATGCTGGTTTTCTCTGTGGAGCTCTATCTGTGTATGTCTAGACAATGATCAGAGGAGACAGGTGGTTGTCACCACGCTTTCCATAGCTAAACTGTGATCATTTACAAACCACTCCCAAATGAATGAAACGTAGAGACCACCAACCCCTCCTTCAATAAAAGAGAAACTAGAATGCTCAGGTATTCTCTAATATTTCTTTAGTTTAGCAAGCTCGAATGCAAGGTTCCTAGGTTGGGTTCCCCAGAAGGAGACCCGGAAGGGAGAAGCTGTAAGCCAGCCAGTGGTTCTGGAACTGCTCCCGGGGAACCCAGTGGGTAGGAGGGGAAAACTGAGCACAGGTAAGTCTCAGGCCTGGGCCTGGGAATGGGCCTCCCACTGGATTCCACCTGGCCCTGGAGCCTATGTTCTGCCTCTGAGCTGTCCCAATAGGAGGCAAGGGACTGGACTTGAAAAATCCATCGCCCAGAGCCGCCTCGCTGTGAGTGTGCTAAAAACAGGAAGACACCCAAGAGAAACTACCTTGATATTGTACCATACGTGGCTGCCTCATCTCTCAGGTAAGGGAAGTATTTGTTACTATTATGTTCTCTTCTAACAGGATTTGGAAATCAATCTGTAATATGTATACTAAGTACATAACAATCATTGAAAGATCAAATAGCATGTATTGATTAGAAATGAGATAAAGAATAAGAGAAATGCCAGCAGAGGGCAATCACATAGATTCAGTAAAGCGCTTTTCAAAATAGGCCTAAGTGATGAATATTCAGATCTGGAATATAGTTTGAAAGATGGTGAGAAAACAAGCATGTGACTTCTGTAAGCCACTTAACATCTCTGGGTCTCAATGCGTCCATCTGTCTATTCACTAGCCATTACTGAGAGTGTGCCACAACCACACTGAAATGGGCTTTATGTTTAGGCTCTTTAATAAAAAAGGTCCAAAAAGAAGATAGTCAAAATTAAGGGACACTATGGAAAATAGTTCTATTATGACTATAAGCCTGGAGAAAAGAAAGATAACAATTATTGAACTTAAAATGTTTAAACTTTCTTTTTTGATGCCACTAAATAATTTCTGTATCTTAAGAGAATGACTGAGCTTAAGTTACAGCCTGAGTAACTTTGGTTTCCTAGAAATCAACATTTCTAGACTAACAGCATAATGACACAGGGGACTGGCCTCCAATGTAAGTCATGTCACTGTGAAACCAGCCCAACATGGTAAGTTACACGAAAGCTGTGTTACTTCCATCCTTCTGTCTCGTGTAGAGAAGGGGCTGTAATCACTCCTGTGTGGTTTATCACTTACTTCAAGGGAAAGATGATCTCAGGAACCCTTCAAGCTCCATAATATAAGCACAGAAACAACCTCTACTGGTAGTTCTTAACCCCAATTTATAGACTAGCTGTTAATACTCCCATCTGGAATACAGTTTGGAGGATGCGGAGAAAACAGGCTGTGGGACTCCCGCGAGCCACTTCACCTGAGAAGGCGGCAGAAGATTATCTGCCCCTTCCCCTGACAACTACCCATGGACATGGGGGTGCTTCTGCATGTAAAAGGACATGTGAAAATATTGTGAACTAAGTAAAGATAAAAATACGACTTATCAAAATCTGTGGGAGTTAATGCAAAGACAAGGAAACAAAGCAAAGGTGCAGCCTGAGAGGAAGGAACTGAAACTGCTTGTTCATATCATTACGAAGAAAATCTCAAAGAACAAAAGACTTCTAAACTAGTAAGTGATTGAAAGTTACAGGATACAAGATTAATACGCAAATGTCAACTGGCTTCCTAGATACTATAAATGATGGGAATTTGAAATTAAAAATGCAGTATCATTTCCATATAAATAAATGAAATATCCAGGTATAAACTGGACAAAATATGCATAAAAGCTGTAGAAAGAGGCTGGGCGCAGTGGCTCACGCCGGTAATCCCAGCACTTTGGAGGCTGAGGCGGGTGGATCACGAGGTCAAGAGATCGAGACCATCCTGGTCAACATGGTGAAATCCCGTCTCTACTAAAAATACAAAAAATTAGCTGGGCGTGGTGGCACGTGGCTGTAATCCCAGCTACTCGGGAGGCTGAGGCAGGAGAATTGCCTGAACCCAGGAGGCGGAGGTTGCGGTGAGCCGAGATCGCGCCATTGCACTCCAGCCTGGGTAACAAGAGCGAAACTCCGTCTCAAAAAAAAAAAAAAAAAAAAAAGCTGTAGAAAGAAACTATAAAACTGATGAAAGAATTCACAGACTAGAATAAATTGAGAGATTCCACATTCACAAACAGGAAGACGATACTGCTAAAATATCAGTTTTTACAACCTGACCTACAGATTCGATGCAGCCCCAATAAAAAAAATTCCGGCAAATTATTTTGTGGTTATCAACAAAATGATTCTAAAGTTAATATGGAGGGGGAAAACACCCACAATATCCAACATGGTATTAAAGAGAACAAATCTGGAGGGCTGACACCGCCCACCTTACAGAGCCACTGCAGAGCTATCATGAAAAAGACTGGGTGACTGTGTGGTCCTGGCAGAAGAATGGGCAAACAGATCATGGCCCAGAGCAGAAAGACGAGAGATGGGTCCTCACAAACACAGTCACCTTGATCTTTGACAAAGGAGTAAAGGTCATTCAGTGGAGAAAGGACAGGTTTTTCCAAAAATGATGCTGAGACAACTGGATGCCCCCCCCCAAAAAATAATAATAATGAATCTAGACACAGATCTTACATCTTACACAACAGTTAACTTCAGATCAGAAACAGTCCCACATGTGAAGTGCAAAAGCCATAAAACTTCCAGAATAGAACACAGACGAAAATCTAGGTGACCTGGGTTTGTGCATAAGTTTTTAGATACAACACCAAAAACACAATCCATGACAGAAAAAAATCAGTAAGTTGGACTTCATTAAAATTAAAAATGTATCCTCTGTAAAATGTAGTGTTAAAGCGATGAAGAGACAAGTCACAGATAGGAAGAAAATATTTGTAAAACACCTATCTGATAAAGAACCTGTATCCAACATATACCAAGAATTCTTAAAAATCAACAATGGGCCAGGTGTGGTGGCTCATGCCTGTGATCCCAGCATGCAAATTGCTTTTTGGTTTCTACAAAAAATACAAAAAGTTAGGCAAGCAGCTTTTTTTTTTTTCCCTACAAAAAGTATAAAAATTAACCAGGTGTGGTGTGTGCCTGTGGTCCCAGCTACTCCACTGGTTGAGGTGGGAAGACTGCTTACGCACAGAGGCTGGAGGCTGCAGTGAACCATGACTGCACCACCGCACTCCAACCTGGGAGACAAGAGTGAGACTCTGTCTCAAAACAAAAACAAAAACAAAAACAAAAAAAACCACAACAAGAAAACAACCCAATTAATCAATAAGCAACAGATCTGAACAGACAGCTTGCGAATAAAGATTTATCAATTACAAGCATATAAAAAGATGCTCATCATATGTCATTAGGGAACTGCAAATTAAAATGAAAACAATGAGATAACACTACACACCTATTAGAATAGCTAAAAATCCAAAAAATAACATCAACAGGAACTCTCATTCATTGCTCTTAGGAATGCAAAACAGTGTGAAAGCTTTGGAAGACGCCTGGCAGATATTTACAAAGCTAAGAGTACTTTTACTGTAAGATCCAGCAATCACAGTCCTAGGGATTTACCCAAAGATTGGAAAACTTGTATCTACACAAAACCCTGCAAAAAAATGTTTATAGCAGTTTTATTTGTAATTGTCAAAAACCAGAAGCAACCAACATATTCTTCAGTAGAGGGGTGGATACATAAGCTGTGGTATATCCATACAAGGGAATATTATTCACGGATAAGAAATGTACTATCAAACCAGAAAAAGAGATGGTGGACCTATAAATGCACATTCCTAAGTGAACGAGGCCAATCTGAAAAGACTACATACTGTGTGAGTCCAACTCTAAGGCCTTCTGGAAAACGTGAAACAATGGAAGGACTTGACGTTCCCAGGAGTGGTGGTGGGGTTAATCCAGGGATGGTGGGGGGTTAATCTAGGCATGGTGGGGTGTTAATCCAGGGGTGGTGGGAGGTTAATCCAGGGGTGGTGGGGGGATTAATCCATGGGTGGTGGGGGGTTAATCTAGGCATGGTGGGGTGTTAATCCAGGGGTGGTGGTGGGGTTAATCCAGGGGTGGTGGGGGTTAATCCAGGGGTGGTGGGGGTTAATCCAGGGGTGGTGAGGGGATTAATCCAGGGGTGGTGGGAGGTTAATCCAGGGGTGGTGGGGGATTCATACACGGGGCAGTGAAACTGTTCTGTATGACACTACAGCGAACATGCAACATCAGGAATTTGTTGAAACCCACAGAATGAACAGCAAAAGCCAACCCTAAGGTAAACTATGTACTTTAATAACAATGTACTGATATTGATTTATCAATTAAAAGTACTCCGCAAATAAAAATTTTTATAGATATTAATAAAAATGCAAGATGTTATTAAAAACTGTGTGTAGAAGAAAAGAGGGTATATGGAACTCTCTACTCGATTTTTCTATAAATTTCAAAAAGGAGCAATAAACCCAACTATGTATATAATTTAGTATACAATAAAGATGGTGTCTCCCAGACATTAGATGGAAAATGGAGTTTTTAATGAACATGGTTTGGATATGGGGATTGCCACATGAAAACAGATAAAATCAGATCCATATCTTTGAGGGGAAGGACTGTGTTCTTGAGATCTCAAATTGGAACTTAAAATATATACATTTTTTCTCAGAAATACTATTAAATATAGTGGCCAGCTGTAGCTGAAAGAGTAATATTAATACTTGATT